AAATTCACAGGCTTCTTGTAGCACAGCTTACATGGGTTGAATTAAGTTCAATAATAACTACTTTTAATACTCTGTGATGTTACAACAGCACCTGAACAACATAAGATTCAAAAGCAAGGTTCTAAAAACAAGGCTAGAAGCGTGTCATTATAAATGCATTGTTTTATTCGTTTGTGATGACACCTGCCAATATTTCAAATAGTCAGGTTGGTTGAACACAACACTATTTCTGGCATTGAAAAAAATAGGGTAAATATTTGTGCCTGTTCTTAACATTGGATTAACCAATTTCATTCAAACTTCATAAATATAGTACACACAATACATTACATATGTTGATGATTTTACAATTAAAGTCTATTTAAGGGATTTCTTTGTGTCAAAATATATCATTTTTGGTCTAAAAATAAGAGGAAATCTAGTTTTTCCTGTTCTTGGCAATGCAATGACAAAATGTATTTAAACTTCACACATAGGGAATACAAAATACATTACTTATGTTGATAGACACAATTTCACAAGCGAAGTGTAATAATAGTGTCATTTGGGATCAAAATGTGTCATTTTTGGCAAAATTTGGTGGAAACATTTCTTTTTTGCCTGTTAGGTAATGCAAAGTACATGTCACAGTCTATGTCTATTAAAGAATGCTATGTCATTTTATGTCTTGTTTAATAATGATTACACAAGTATGAAAAGTCAATTTTAATATAAGGATATTAATAGATACTTGAACTAAGTTATTATATAGAATTCAACTACCTTTGTTGTCTGCATTGTTGATCTTGATCACCCTCTTTTAATCTAATTGATTGACTTTCACCTCCTAGCTTCTTACACTTTATTAACAACTTGATTTTGCCACTTTACTTTATTACCCCTGCTCACTGATCCTTATCTTTTTTAATTGACTTTAAACCAGTCAATTTCCCCTGGGGAGTGTGTTTTTCTCCATAATTGTAATTTGGCACTTGCCTGTTAAATACATGCAGATTTTCTAACTACTGTGCCAGGTTCTTGTCCCATTAACAGATGCATGGGAACAATACAATGAAATCAATAGTTATTCCCAACGGCATGTCATCTGCGATTTACACTGCTACTTCTGACCTGCCACCTTACAGTAGCGCCTATTCATAATGTGTATATTACACACTCACAATGAATTAGTGTCAATATTTGTGAAAATAAATTATTAGTAGTATACTGAAATACCAGCATTTATTCTGTAATGATTATTGTAAACTTACCTCACAACCACCTGTTTGATTTTCCCCAAAACTGTTATTTTTAAAAATCTGGTTGTGAATTCAAAATAATTTTTGATAAATAAATTTATGTGTTATTTAAAGAGGTAAAATATCTATTAGAAACTAGAAAAAAATGAAAAATAAAAACTTGCACAGACAAAAATCATGGGGAAAAAATCTTGTAGGAATCATTAGAAGAAAAAAACATTCACAGCTTAATCTTAGAAAAAAATATTTCACAAAGTGAAAAAAAGAAATTCTAATGAAAAAAAAAAATATTAGCACAAACTATTATATAAATTAAAATGAAGAAAAAACAATTTTGCACAGTTTTTCTGCCATAGCCCCACCAAGAGTTTCTGGTGGTCCACTCTTAAGTTTACAAAAGTCTTAATCACATACTAGTACTCAAATACATTTTCTACATAATGTGTTTTGGTAAGGTCTACACAGACTCGAGGTTGTCAGAGGAAATTTGCTCTACTGCCCTCTTTGGTTTCGTTTAGTAGTGTTTTACATTGTGTGAATTCACCACAGAACTATGCATGTCTTTCTTGTGTCATTCTTGAGATAGTCTTGAGACAGTATGTGTGTTGTTGTGTCACCCTCTATGTGTAGTTCACATAGTTTGAATGCACACATTTCATAAACTATTTGAAGTAGCTTTCGTGCCACTATAGGAAACTTGATTGTTTACACTCTCATTGGATGTGTCCCTTTAAAATCAATTCTATTCAATGTTTTACCTTGGAGGACTCCACCCCTTTGATACTGCAATCCCTCAACCAATAGTGTCTGGCACTATAACAATACCTATTGTTTCCTTCACGTCATTTCACCTTTGTATGTACCTATTGTACATTCTCTCCACTGTTATGCTGTGTGCGTGTTTTCGGGTCCTATTTTTTCTACCAGGGTTGTAGTTGCGTTAGTAACAATCAGGTGGAGCAAAGTTCGATAAACAAGTCCCCTGTTAATCATTGACTTGGTGCTAGCATTAGTAGACTGTAATCCGTAGTGCGATGATTTCTATGTGTAGGGCTGCAATAGTGTTGTACGGCAGTGTCGACTCAAATTCCTGTGTTAAAGGGAATAAACAATAGCCTTTGTCGTGTACCTCGGAGAATAGCAGATATTCAATACCTAAGACGGTGACAGATATATTGCATGGTTTAGGAGCCTTTGTTGATTTATACTACAAACTAGTCAGAGGACATTTAAATAAAGATGCATTGGGACGTGCCTAAGTAAAGGAGCTGACATTCACAGGATCATAATACATACAGGCTATGTAGGCTGCGTCAGAGCTAGTTCTACCACGACTGACAGGGATAAACCACAATCATGACTTCGCTGGATGTGCCAGATGAAGTCGCCAGCATTCTGAAAAGCATGGATTATCAGAATTATGAGCTTCAATGGCGAGTTCAAACTAACGACGATCGAGAAATTAAACGGCTGGTTCTAACTTGGCAAAGATTTTCTCACCCCGACGGCACATCAACACCGTTGTTTTACGAGTCATCAGATGCTCTTCATTTTGCTGGAAGTGGTGGGGGCAAGAAAAAGTCGCCATCCAAGCGGAGGAGAGATATAAAAAGGATGAAGAAGTGGCTAGAAAAGAAATCTGAAAGCCAAGCTGATGATGAACCTGAAAGCCCACGCGATGACGCCAGTCTTCCTCATGCAGATCTGAATAATCCCCTTCACAATCAGAGCGGCTTACTTGATTCAGGGCTACACAGTGATGCAGATGTGAGTTTTAACTCCATAATTAATTTATAGTATTCAACAGCAGATTTTTTAATGTTTTTTTTTTCAACAAAAAAAAATGGCAGAACAAGAATTAAATTTATTAATGCAAGAGTGGATATGGGTATGGGTAGACTCCTATTCCTGCAACAAATTGGTTAAAGAAGTTTTAGTAACTTATTGCAAAATAACACCATTAAATGTGTTACCAAGGTTACCAAGATATAGTAACTGATATTCTAAGTATGTATCGTAATTTCCTTCTATTTAACCCGCCTATTCTATCAGTTTTAGTGGTCAGATATCAGATGGCGTTGGCACCATGCCAGCATGTTGAAAATCTAATACATGTTCAAATAGGGGTAAATATCAAGAGGCAAGAAGCTTCTCAGCTGTGGTATGAAACGGTGTTTGCTATTCTGATAAGAAGGGACGCTCTTTACTTTGTAGCATTATGGCAACAAAAGCCATGTTCAAAATGACCCTAAATAATCATTCGTGATTGTTTGTAGAAACCACAACAGCAATAGCAGACGAACATTTGCTTTGAATCAATCGTGCGGGCACGTCTTTTTGGCGTATTTAATTTGAAGAACAGATTAGCTTCATAGATTTCAATGCTATAGTGTCAATTCACTAAAAAAATTCAATGGACTCCGCCTAACCTTCTGTGCTTCGCTTCTTTTTTAAATTGGAATTTCTTTTTCTGGAGCCACAGAAGCATTTAAATCTAGTGCGATGTTATCGATGTTTGTGTAGTGCTCGCGACTTAAGCACAAATCTTGGTGTCTCATTAATGAGGCTTGAAGTATGTGTTATTCTTTGACGTGTTTCTAAGGTTTCGCCAAGGTCAAAACATGCAGCAATTTGTACAAAGAACTCCTGTTCTATTAGTATTGAAAGAAACTGTGTGAATCTGCTGACGAGGTTGATAGCCACACAACAAACCCATCCGAATTGTAGGTGTGTCCAACTGCAAATGTTCTTGGGAGACCGTCTTCATGACAAACTTTTAAATCAAACAAAAAAATGCGAGGCCAAGAATTTCACTTTCTCATATTTGTTCTTACGAGGATTTATCAGACAACAGAGCTGTAAAGATTTATTGCCACAGAAAGATTCAATATTTCCTTTTGACTACAATGTCAATAAGGGTGATGTGTTAAATAATGGACAGTCAATTTTAAAGAGGTGTGGACCACAACTGATAAAAGACTACATACACCAATTGCATGGGGTCTTAAGTATCACAGTTGTAGCATTTACTAGCTGTTATTCTTGCTTTAGTTTATAGAAATAATCCAAATAAATAGTCACTTCTTATTTTAGATTAAATTATCTCTAATTCTTAAAGTTTTTATTTATTACTTAATTTTAAAGCTCGAATTGAAAATATTCAAAGTTTAATTTTATCAAGGTTGTTGTAAATACCACTGACTCTTAATTTATTTTTCTAATTCCCTTGATGATATGAATCAAGAAAATAATTCTGGAATAGATTTTTATAATATATATATATTGTAACGATTTCTGGAGTGAGAGTGTTGTGTACTGTATGAGATTGATGTCATTAAAAAAAATAAAATGTTTGTTGTGAATACTATGGTAGCTAGGAACTGACACCTGTTGATTTATTCAAGGTATTTAACAAGTGTATCATTTGATTTACGAGTACTTTGTTTGTGTTTAACATCTTGTTACTTCGCCACAAATAATATTTTAGTTGTTTCTGTAATTTGGGCGCAATGTGTCACTGGCTTTCTACCATGACAGAACAACTAATAAGTGTGATTAGTAGCATGTATGAATATTTATTTTGAAGAAAACAAAAACATGTGAATCTTTTAACACATACATAGTTACGTGCAGGTATATTGGTGATACTTGAGGTCAGCCTCCAATACCCCCCAAGGCATGATTGACCTTTGACACATATTGGTAATGGTGAGCAATCAGAATAAAATCATTCAAATTTTTATTTATGTATTTTTTTTACAGAGACATTCTGCTGGTCTTAGTAGCCGTAAAGAAAGTATTGAAAGTTTACATTTACATGGTGATCAGATGTGTACATACTGCAGTAGTCCTGACCAAGCTATTGTAGAAGAACATCTCAGGTTAGTTTATCTTTTCATTATTATTCAACCTTGTTGATTTTCTGTCAGTCTCACAATATTTTTACTCAATATTTCACTTGAATAACTTGCTTATGAGTCTTGGTGTTGTTTTCTACTTTTATATTAACCATACCACACATTGTTAATTTTTGTCATCTTTCACTTTTTAAAGTACACCTATTAATATCTGCCTTTTTCATTTCAAGTGTAGACGTTTGATTTTTTTTTCAAAATCTGTGGGTATTGTGAGATTTATACTCTTTTCCTTCAAAATTCTCATTCAAATAGGAAAAAATTACAGAAAATGTGAGAATCTGTCCTGAAAATGTTGGTGAGAAAATATTGAGAGTAATCTCTGACTCGTAAGGTTTAGAGATTTTTTTTAGATTTTATGTAATTTTTCACTAATTTTAACATATTTTGTTGACAGATAGAAACATTCCCTAGTGTATAAGTTTGGATCAAATTAGTAAATTAACTTTATTGGATGTTTACAATGATTGCTAAAGGGTTAACAAACCCAAAAAAAAGAACAAAAGTTGACCATTTCCATTTTGTGGTAGTTGTATATCATCTTTAGATTATTTCTGCTCTTTCTAACCTCTCATAAATGGTTACTTTGATAAAGTCATAAATTCAAGGGACAAAACAAACTTATTATTCAGTGTTAACAATTCCCTAAGGCCAGACTTTTTTTATATGAGCCTCCACGACAGCTTGCTTTTAAATAAGCGTTCATTGGAATTGGTACCATGACTAACAGTGCCTAACAACCAGTCCACTCAAGTCACAAGTGTAGTGTACTGTAAAAATACCAAACTTAGTTTCAGTGATTTTATCCTGTCCAGATCGTAAAACTGATTACCACGATAGTTGTCATAGAAGATCTATCCCGGGAATATAAGACTGGGTCACTACGTCCTTAAACTGATTTTACTGTTTGCCCATCCAAACATTCATCTCCTTAGAAACATTGAAAATAACTGACTTTTATCGCCTGTTCTAGCTGAACGCTATTTAAAATCTTATTATTTCCATTTCTTGACCCAAACCTCAAGGTTTAGGGGTTAAGGAGAGAGAGTTTTGAACGAAGTTAGTGAAGGTCCCTTCCTGTCAATGCTTATACTTATTTATTGTGCCTGTCCATAGAGAAACCAAAACTTTGAAGACTTGAAGATCTATATACACATAGACTGATGTCTTGAAATCTATTGTCAATTTGTGTAATTTTTTTTGTACGTTTCTATCTTTTTGTTGTGTGGTAGTGCTACTTGATTTTTTTTTTAGGGTGGGGTTGCTTACAGAAGACATTGTGGGTCAGACTTATGTCACCACTTGACAAGTGACATACTAATTGTATGTCTTTGTGCTCAGATCATATTATTCAAAGGAAAAATTCCTAACTTTAATTGTCACAATTGCTCACTTGTTAACAGAATAGTGGATCTTTCTTCTGGTTCATTCTCACAGAAGTACATCACCAGATTTATTCTATCAAACAATGGCACTAAAACTATTTCTATAAGTTGCTGCAGTTTGTGTTTAAATGGGGACTTATGTAAATGTGTATGTCTCCACTTGTGTTTTGGTTATGCCTAGACCAATTTAAACTTACCGTGTACATTATGTTTGGATACATATGCTTGGACATTTATGTTGTAATTTGATTCAAAATGGCCGAATGGCAGTTTTTTTTTATGCTAAAAATTCATCGAAATTATGAATTTCTGCCTTTTCATATCTTGGTCATTTATGTACGGAAACTCTGTACAAACATTATGGGACCTTGATGCACATCATTTTGTTTTTCAAATCAGAATCAAAATGGCCATTTTATGCAGTTCCAGCTATATCTTTGATATGACCCGACTGTTCATGTTCCAGCTTTATATATACATCATACAGCACGTCGCACATACCCATATGAGTTTGTTATTCAGATCAAATTCAAAATGGCGGACTGGTGGCCATTTTGTTTTAATGAATGCTGTTGTGAAGCAATTTCTCTGACATGCTCTGACCATTCAAACTTTATAAATACATTATACATCATGTCACACATATATTCATTTGTTGATGCATTTCAATATACAAAATGTAGTGGTCATTTCAATGTTGAACAAATTATCAAAATTAAGCACTTCTGCTATTCTAGATCTGGATTTCTGACGGTTCATTTTCAAACTTTATATACCGGGGGTGTTTCTCAAATTTGATAATCGCAAGGCTATTAACCAGACTTATGTGACCACCGGTTCAACAATATTTTGGCAGATTCCCCTAGAGATCTAAATAATAATTAGCCAAACTTATTGATTTTGATTGTGTACAACTCAAATAAATGTGATTGCAACAGTACTTACTATCTTATTATTTTTTGGACAAATATATCAAATGTATGAGTTGACAATCCATAAAAAAAAATAATACAACCTCCACCTGTCTTTAACCATTTTAATGAAGTTACTTTAATGAAGTTTGTTCAAATTTGTTACAGAGAATTGATTATAAACACAGATGCAAAGTGATTAGCTCCACTGTCAACATAGTCAAGTGGAGCTTATGATATCACTGATTGACATCACTGATCTAACTTAACATTTTTGACTTCCTGCTTGCCCCATTGGTTTGATATCTTATATGTAGGTACCTCTAAAGAGTTGTTCATTACGTGACAATATCATCATATCTTTAACTTTGATGAATATTTTTGACTTCTTTTTTAAAATCGCGAGTCTGATTTCTTTGACATTAGTACATAGACCTCAGGCGAACCTCTCCCAGTTTATTAATTGTGTGACAACATCTTCAGTTTTCTAATTTTGATGAATATATGTGTTTGTTTTTTGTAAAAAGTGATATTTTCAACTTCTTGTCAAAAAACCTCAAGTTAAATTGCTGTGATATTAAATATATTGGTATCTCAAATGATCGTCTTCCAGATTTGTTCATTTCATGAATTTCGTGATTTGTTTTTTTAATTTTAAAGAATATTTTTGTCATTTTCATTACTATGGATAAGATAGCTTCCACTTAATGCATCTCAATGAGTGCTGGTTTACCTAATGGGATTCTTGTTTAATACGTTATTCTTAATTGCTGGCGAAATGTGCATCACTAACAATGTTGCTATATCAGCTGACAGGCTGCTTGTTTCTGTTTAAATCCAATCCAGAATTAAGTTTTACACATTGTATGACATTAATTGTAGGCTTATATTGTTCTAATAGGTGAATCGTGTAATAATATTTTTTTACACTGAAACATCTCCATAATATTTCAATGCTATGGTCAAAAAAAATAATAATGTTTGCACCATGTTTTTTTTTCCAGGCAAGTACAAGAGCGATATGATAGCCTACATGATAGGACAAAGAGGAAGGTTCAGGCTGTGGAAGTTGTACTCTTAGATTACCGCACTTTAGTAGAGAGGGTTCAAGAATTCTTGGGATGGCTAGGAAAAACAGAAAGGCATATGACGTCTCAGGGACCTCTCAGTCCTACCATAGAAGAAGCTGAAAATCAGCTGCAACTACACACTGTAAGTACTTTATCATATGTTTGTGATTTACTATGCTCGAACTGTCCAATTTTATAAACAAGTTGCCCCCTTTCTGCCTACCTAATATGAAACTGACCATAACTTGGTATTAACCTTACAATTGACCTCTTTCAATGTGTACTTTGTGCTATTAGTGAATGGCTATGTATTATAATTGGTTTTAAACTTGCAAAATATTGGTAGGGATCTTCCTACATAATGGAAATAGCCATTACTCAAGTTCCGGGATGTTGGTTATTTGCAATGGTCCTCTGCCGATGTAGTTCTACTGTATGGCTATAATTTTTGCAGCAAAGCTCATTATTGGACCTTCTTTAAATATAAATATGAAATTTATGCAATTCAAGATTGCAATTTGTCATGATATTTGTTTACGTTATGAGATGAAATGTGATCTTTTTATTTTTTATTTTCAATAATTTCAAAAGTCAAATGAAAAATGAGCAACTTGAATGAAGGAATAAAATAGATAACTTTTTTTTTTTTAAAGGCAATGTGCAGTGAATTAGAGAGCAGGAGAGCTATAGTAGACAGCATCAGTGGACAGGGTGATGCCATCTATCGTGGTCTCAGTCGTGGTGAACAAGAACACATCAAAAGACATGTGGACAATGTGAGAAAACAACTGAGTCTGGTGGAAGAATTGGCTGATAATAGAAAGAAGAGTCTTAAGAAGAGCGTTACAGATCGTGAGGAATACCATAAAAGGATACAGAGTTGTCATGATTGGATGGATGAGATTGAATCATCCGTGCTTACTGATGAGCAGCCCCGACTCCATGCTGTAGATGTCGAGGAGCAGCTACAAGAAATTAAAGTAAGATGCTTTGTAATGTACTTTTTGTAATAGAAAGTAAATGTTCTTCTCATTCTTTAGTTTAAATTCCACATCTTGAATACTTTGATGATGGGACTGCATACTATTAGCAAAGTGCAGCCAGAAGTAAATAAATCCTGCAATTGTTCACTGTTTTCATTCTCGGCACTAAAGTTGAGTTAAGCATACCGTACAACTACTTTTGTTGCCTTGTTGTTCTGCAACTGCTCGTGTTCTTTCACTTGGTTCATAACAAATTAAATTGAATTATTCGCTATGTTGGAAATCTGGGTCAGCCTTTATTGTCAACAGATATAATCTCTGTGGGGTTAAAAATTAGTCATAAAGACACCCTGTGGACGTAAAAAAAATGGAAACTCCTATGGTGATTCCGTTGAAAGCGTTTTTTGTCACACTCACCATAATCAGAATCTGCGGGTATTCCTGGTCACTTGTTGATATTAATTGGCCAAACTTATCTGTATCTTAGGAGATTGCAGAAGCAATCGATGACCATAAACCTCATGTACTTGAAGCCATTTCTATTGGAAGGTTGCTTATAGTTGAGGGTAGCGAGGAGGACCAAGAGACTCTGGAAAAAGAGCTACAAGGTAAGTGTGCATGTAAGCTTGATATCCCGGGACACAACAACATAGCAACTGTACACTCACGGTGAAATGTTTCCCATCCTGTATTTAATACCCTATGGTCATTGTCCGAGACATAATGCACTTTTAAACATTTTTGTCATTGTTCATTCAGGCAGAAAACGGGTGCATGCAAGGGAAGTCTAGTTAAGGGAATCGTCATGTAGATTTCAGCAATAGCTTTGTTCAGGTGTACAAACAAGTGCCAACATGCTTTAAAGGCATACTTTATTTTCATAAGTGTCTGCATGAGATGGGGGGGTGTGTGGATATTTCTGCCGGCTTTGTTGTAGATTTGATAATAATTCTATGCAACAAGATAATAGAGGGGATTTTTGTTTATTCGTACGTTTACTTCAATTGATCGAGTTTCAAATCTTGTGTTTTCTCCCTGCGAAGGACTCTCAGAATTCAAACTTACTGATTGTTAAATGCAGTTATGTTATAAAAACAAATGAATGTTTAAAACTTTCATTACCTTCCAAAAAAAATCTATTGAATAATGAAAACATACACACTTGAATTATTGGCCTTATGCCAACACCGATTAGTCCGGTTACTTCCATCACAATAACAACATCCCTTGCTTGACTAACCCGTTCTGATATGCAGAACCTCTTGTGTAGTGTTAAATTAAGTTTATGAAGATTATCATCTCATTATTTTTGTTTTCAGATGTGCAATATCGATTTGATAAGGTCACCAGGAGATGTCAGGAGAAACAGCATGCTCTGGAAGATGCCTTGGATAAGAGGAAGAGTATCCATGGTGACATAGAGAAAGTCACAACCTGGATGAAACCAGCTGAAACCAAACTTGGTGATACCATCAAACTTAACTGCCCTATTGAGAGGATAGAAGGACAACTGAGACAACATCAGGTAGAGTCTATAGGATTGTTTATTGAACTTACCTAGATATAAACAAAAGCAGTTAATGTTACTAAAGTAGGTGGCAGTATCTAGACCATCCATAATTTTTTTAAACTAAGTGCAGCGATGAATTACAGTACAGCTGAGAACAAGTTTTTCATTTCAGTATTGAAACTATTATTTTTCAAAATACTCTTAATTTTATAAGATCACTGCTGCTTTTATTTAAAATATCTGTGTACAAACTTGATGCTTGTCATAAAATTTTAAAGATTTATTTTATGTTGAATCTCTGAATGTTTTTTTTTTCTTTTTTCAGTCTATCTGTAATGATATTAAATTTTATGAGGGCTTGGTTGGATCAATTCAAAAGCAAGGTGAACACATACTGCCTGAATTGAATGAGAGTGATAGGAATACATTTGAACAACAACTAGACAGTCTACAAAAGCAGTGTGAAAGGTATGATAAATTTTCTGCTCATGATAGTTTTTTCCATGTGAAGTAAGTTATATAATTTCCTTCTTGTTTTGTTAGTCCAGTATAAAAGTCTGATTGGTCTGATATATTTTGGCTGATTAGTTTAGAATAATTTTCATATTTTATTTTTACCGTAACATTAAAATAGAATTCACAATTTAATTTGAATGTCCTGATGTTTTGTGTGTGCTAATTGCAAGTGCTGATTGTATATAAATTTGGTGCATTTCACCACATAAACACGATACATGGCAGAGCTGTGCAAAACTATCCTTTTATTTTTTTTATTTTCACTCAACTTAAATTTAAGAAATTCCATTTTGCCTCAAGATTTCCGCAAAGTCATTCCTTTTATAGGGCACACTGCATCTGTAATAGCATTATGGCAATTTTAATCAGCTGTCCTAGCATAAGCTATGATCAGTCAACCACTTGTGGACCATACCCACTGTAGCCTCCCAATTAGACTCTGCTACAAACTCGTCATAGGATGCTAGGCCACTCCTTTTTTCAGTGTTAGACCATTAAATCCCCCCCCCCAAATAACCACTGTTCTAACAGTGATCAGTTTTGTGGGTTCGATTGATTTAATGATGCATAACTTGGTGTCCGTCTACTCTTCAAATGAATGTTTATGGAACTGTGAAATAGACGATGTGTTTCTGTGGTTCATGACTTGTATGCACAATGTGTTGTTGCCTGGCATTGTTGCTATGCATGCAATGTTGTCAGACATTGTCTACATATCTTTTACAGCTTAAATTGGAATTTGTTAATAAAAAGTTTGATAAGGAATTCAGAATATTTACAATCAATATATATCTTTGGAATACTAAGATTATGTTGTCAACTGGAAAGGAGATGCAAAAATTACAATTTTCCTGTTGTTTCATTTTATTTAAATATAGCATTGCTTACTCTATGGGATTCTTATTGCATGTAATATTGACGTAATACCAAATGTGACTTGATTTGCAGGGTATCCACTACAGCCAATGATAGGAAACATGAATTAGAGACAGCCTTGGCAGAGAGGAAAAAATACGAAGTTGATGTTAAAGAGTGTGATAAATGGTTGCAAGATTCAATCAAAATGGCCAAGACAATTGACCAGCCGGTTGGACATACACTGGATGATGCACAGGAACTCCTTCAAAAATACCATGTATGATTTATTATGTTTATTTTCTGAAATCAAAGGCAGATAATAGATAAGGGTGTGCAACTAGGGTGATATTCCACTGATTGGGAGAAATCACACACACAAATATCTAGAAATATTAACTAAATTCAAGTCTGCAATAGAAATGTTTAGGGTACGACTTAGGTTGCTATTTCTAGTGTTTTTGCATATTTATACTGCATACACATATCAAATAACCTGAAACGTTAATTTCAACAGTTGAACCTTTTCATTGTTATCTACCCTGTCTATTATATACCTTTTGTAAAATAAAATAAAGAAATAATTCATGTTTTTTTAAATTAAATTGCAAAAAAAATGTCCTTCAACTAGTGCAAACTTTCAATTGTTATCAGGAGTTACAAGCACAGTTGGCCACACATCACGCAGACATTGAATCTCTTAACACAAAGAAAGAGCATATGGCTAAGAGTGGACAGGCTACATCATCTGGAGATGTCATGAGAATCAACAACACTTACGATGACTTGAACAAACAGCTTGAAAAGAAATGTGCTGAACTGCAGAGAGCTGTCCAATCTAGAGAACAATTTACGGAAGGTACCCAGGATATTGAAAAATGTCTTGAGGAGTGCTATGCTGGTATTTCTAAGATAGAACAGCCTGGATTGACAGCTGAGGAAAAACTTGAACGTTACCAGGTAAGATTTCAGATTTCTGTTTCTGGTACTTATTTATTTCATTCCTGCCTTGTTTTAGTGTACTGTTGCATTAACTGTGTATTGTAATACAATTTATTAACCACTCTGAGCACCTGAACTTTACAGTATACATGGTGGAGGCTTATGACCTACATTTCTATGTACACAGTGTAGGTGTGGGAGTAACGATGTATATGCTGTATTGAGAGTCATTTACATTTGTCATGATCAATGTCCAAGTTGTCTTAAAATTGATTTCAGACATGATGTCCAAGAGAATAATCATTTACCATTAAAACTTGATTAATGAGTGATTGAATTGAAAGCTACATGTCTGGAACCCTAAAACAACAACTTTGAACCTAATGGCAGTAAGGGTGTCTGCTGTAGAGATTTATGTAGTCTTCTCATGTGTACTGAATCTAACCCTTGGCAACATTAATATATTACACAGATGTAGTGTCCTCTACCCCCCTCCCCCCTTTAATGAATACACCCACTGACACCCAAGTTGAAACCTATTTGCCAATTTAATCTTAATGTTTTGTTGTATTACTGTTGTGTTGCCATGGTATTCACTATCAGAATGCTCAAAGTTCATCTGTAAAGTTTACCCACTCACCACTTAGTTTATCATCTCATTCATCATCTTTTTTGTTGCTGTTCGAGTCGCAGTCGTAAAGCCATCATCATGTGAATTAATGAAGTTCAAAAAACCCAGAGTTCCATAATCAATTTATTCAACCATGCTTTCTCAATTTACTGTTATTTGTGTTTGATTATAGACCTTAGCACAAGAATTAAAAGCGAAACATGCTGCACTTGGCCTCTTAAGCGGACATGGACAACAGATCAGTAGTGAAGGTAATGAAGCGGACAGGCAGCAAGTTGCTGACCAGCTGGCAAAATTACAAAACAATTTGGAAGCAGCCTTATCAAAGATCGAAGAAAAACAACGAGAGAACGAGAAAACCTTGGAAGAAAAGAAAGCAGCTAAATCGCAGATTACCAAAGCATTGGAATGGTTGCAACAAGCACAGAGTGTTGCCATTAGTGATGAATCTATACCATTGGATATACATTCATCTAAAGAAGCACTCCAAAAACAACAGGTGGGTAAAGTCAGCAAAGTATGTGTGTAGTAGGTGGCGATTATTTTTTTCAGCTGAGGTCAACTATTGTCAATAAACTCTATTGTATGTCTCTTCTTTATTGTATTCTGTTTATTTTGTTTTCACGTCAGAAACAGTTATGTGTCATTTGTTGTAGTATTAGTTTATTCATGTTTTTATTATGATAATGTATTATATTCTAAATCCTCTTGTTTCTATGACATACTTTGACAGTCTGTCATCACTATTGCCAAATGTTTTCTTCTTTCACCAAATCGTTCTAATGTATTTGCTGTATTAGTAGTACTGTAAAATCTGTATTAAAAGCTGCGGCTTCTATTGAAATGGTACAATGCGATGGAAGGGATGCGGCTTCTATATTGGAACATTTACACATATGAGAAATGATGTAGTTGTAACAAGAATGGGTGTGACTTCTATTAGAAATGCAACTTCTAATACAGATTTTACGGTACATACTTTTATTAGAGCTGCGCTTTGTACTGCAATTATTAATAAAAAAATTACTTAATTAAAAAATATGATTTACAGGCACTGGAGAATGAAACTGAAAAAGAGATACAGAGGTTGCAACAACTATCCGATTCCATCCGTGCAAAGTTTGCTGAACTTGGAGAAGAGATTCCACCAGAAGTACAAGAACAGTTAGATGCCATTGAGAAGAAACAAATGCAATTGCGAACATCTATGAAGGAGAAACAAGCTGCATTGGAATCTGGCATTGCGTTGAGAGAAAAATACCAAAAAGCTGTTGACGATGTTGCTTTGTGGCTGGATAAAGCAAATCAGAAACTACATGAAGGACAAGATGGTGCAGACTATGAGAATCTACCAATCGCTCTTGAGGACCATAAGGTATAGAACCAACTTCCTGTGTCTGTCATTCAAAGTGAATCAAATAATCCTATATTTTTGTGAAATATTAATTTGTCAATTTCATAGTTAGTTACTTGGACAATCGATGCTATTAACATAGTGCAAAGTGACGCCATTTGTATTTTTAATTAAATGATCGAAAATAAGTAGAAAATGTAGCCAAGCATTATAATATACATGGTTGATGTGTATTACGTGTATTAAGAAGAAGTAAGAAGTTGTACTCTCAAAGTTGATAAACATGTATCACCAGTTTGACAACAAATCATTGTTAATATGATCTTACAAGCTGTGCCTTTGATAGGCTGATAGCTATAGATGCAGGTTCGTTGGCACTTGGAGTGAAACAATTTTTTTTTTTGTATTTTCTTATCCAGACAGTCTTGGCTAGATAGTGTTGACATTTCGGAGTTCTGTCAATGGTGGAACATACTCAAAAAATAAAAATATTGGGAACCCAGGCACGCATATGTAATTAAAAGTCCGAAAGTTTGTTTACTTTGCTCTTTGATTGACAAGTCACTGTTGATGATGTATGCAAATAGTTGCTGGCCTCAGAACAGTGCGGCGGTGTGTGACTTCCTTCTTGGCTCCCTGTTTTACTTACCTCAAGCGCAATCAACTAGCCTCGCAAACTTCTAAAAACAGACAAGATTTCTCTTGCCATTTTCACTGTAAAATGTCCTTTTATTGACCCCAATGTTTTTTTTAAGATTACCAATTATTCACTTACTATATCTAGGAGAACAATGAATTGACCACTGTTGAGAACATGCACTAAAACTCACTTAATGTACCAGAAATATCGCCTCGGGCACTCTGTCAATATGATTGTTTTTTTAATGTAAGTTACCCAGACACAAGCAATTCATAATGTGGTATGCATGGGAACAATGGAGGCGCTCTGTATGAAAGCTGGTTTATACTAGATACGTCTTACTAGTATTAACAATACCTTGCACTAGGTGTGTACATTATTTACTTGAAATTGAACAATGAAAATAATTTCCCTACTGTTGTATTATCAATAGGAATTCTTCCGAGATGAAAATGGCTGCCATGACAAAATGGATGAAGCTGTTGAGCTGGCGAAGAAGATTTCGGTTTCCTTGGCGTCTGAAGAGAAGGATGTAATGAAGGATAAGCTGAATACATTGAATACTGAGTTGACTCGTGTTCTAGCTGCAGCCGTGGTAAAGGAAGAGAAATTACACCATTATACCGAGAACTGGGAAACATTCCAAGCTGAAGTGATATCAACGAGAGAAGCTATTGAGGTTGTTGCTCAAAAGTGTGTGACTTCCATTGAGCCATCTATAGAAGGGGCTAAACAGGCTTTAGACCAGCATGGGGTAAGACACTAGATTAAAACACTTCATTTATTTTACAGTGCATGATTTTGTGTAAATGAATTTATATATACATACATTTCATTAGTATGCACCATTAAACTATTCATTTGATCTAGATGAAGTTCTAGTACAGCATACTCGTTGTTCATCAGTTACTTCTGTGAGATATACCGATTCCTGCTTTTCAATGAAAGTTGAGAAGTGGTCTTTAAGATTTTCACAAATAATGTATTGAAACTGTCCAACCATGTTATTCTTCATACAGTTATATGTATCAGAACTGAAAATATACGAGGACCCCGTTGAAGTTCTAAAAGGTAAAGCCAGCAAACTGAAAGATGAAGGCAGCAAACTTGGAAAAGAATCTGTTGAGAAGAAACTGAAGGAAATCCAAGAACCGTGGAATAAACTGAATCTCAAAGCTGCTGAGCAGGGTAAAACTATCCATGAATGTGTTGTACAGTGGCAAGAATATCAGACAGCGCTAGAAGAAGTCTCTGAGTTTGTCACCAATGCTGAGAAGGCTATCCCATCCTTGGTGGTTGAGACTGTTCCAAGTCAGCAACTCACTCAGGATCTTCAACATGCTAAGGTAAGTGCATATTGGCATTTCTTTTACCTCGATTTAGTTCATATGTAATTGAGGTAATAAACAAGTCACTGTCATGTGATGTTTGACATGAAAATCTATTTCAAGTGGCCACCTCATTTGTTTTATAAAGTTTTATATTGGAGTTCAAAAGTTCACCTTGCTGTGGATGTAATGTATACTGAAGTCCCATTACCAGGACTTGAACTCTAGTGAAAAAAGCCCAAATAAAAGTGCTTGGAAATTATTAAGGAATATCTGGATACATGTTTATAATGAAAGGAACACAAATAGGTCATCTAGACAATTGCCTTTAATGGCTTCAGTGAATTTCATGCGCTGCAGTACTTGGTATCCAGCAGCCCACTATGCTGTAACTGTAAACCTGTAAATCCAAAACTACCTGCACTTATAATAACAACTCCAGATAAGTATACCAGCATCTCAATATACTAACAGTGACCCACTGCAGTCATTGGTACAAACTCAGAGGCACAGTTGTGACTTACTACAATCAGATATCGACCATTACCATACTCACAGGAATCCGTGTTATATATTGTAATCCACTGTAAAACCATCATTGTCAATAATTATTATAATGATAGTAGATATTATAATCATCCAAGCCTTGTAGGATTCACTTACTAGATGTCATTTAACAGGTTGCTGTTGAATCAGCAGAGAGTGCAGAGAGCAAGTTTGATGTTGTAAAGAAAGTTGCTGTGTCATTGAAAGAAAGAATGGAGGAAGCAAAGAAGTCAGTTGGACAAGAACCAGACACTGTTCCTCAGGTTGATCAAGACATCAAGAAAGTTGAAGAAAAAATTGGCTGGTAATTTGGATTTGCCTGCTTTGCACTTTAGATTTATCATTTCAATACTTGAATTTTATTCTGCGGATTTATATATTTTAAGGCTTTAAACTTTAAACAGCTGGTGATTAGTGCCCTTTAGCAAATTTTAGTCTTACCTGTCAGTGACATTATATTTTTGTAATATTCTCAAAGTAAATTCAGAAATCTTGGCTCAGCTTGTAAAAGTAAATGATATTGTTATTTCACATTGTTTCAAAACACTGTGTTTTAATTTCTAAAATATATTATCCAAAATGTTTTGGCATATTTAAGCAAACCTTCAGACAAAGAAAATGACTACTTGCAATCTTAAGGAGAAATGTCTTGCATTGATTTTCCCACAGTGTTCAGACATCTGCAGTGGAAATCCAACATGGTATAGAGAAGGAACTGGCTGAGCGAGAGAAGTTCAAAGCTGAGGTTGTTAATGTTGCAGAGTTCTTAGAGACATCGCAAGGAAATGTACAAGCACTTGATAGTACTATTGGCCCAACACCAGCTGATGTTGAACATAAGATAGAAGAGAAGAAGGTATGACAGGAAATTAATTAAATATTGGTTATAATATGTGTAGCTACACCCAAAGGGTTTATTATCCAAAATCTGGGAAGTCATTAAATTGCCATTAACTCATCCATATGTTTGCTTGTAGGAACTGCAAGAGGCTTTGATATCTAAGTTACACATCTTGGATGAACAAACACAAGTACAACAACAGCGATACTCGGCAAAGGACGCTCCAGTACCTGAAGAAATCAAAGTAGAACTTGATAAACTAAAGTGTTTGGAGAGTGACATCAATGCTAAACTTGCTGACAAAGATGATACTTTAGTTAAAGCCAAAAAACTGAGAGAGAATTTTGCACGTGAATGTGACATGACCGAGAAGCAGTTACAGCAGTCACAGGAGCAGGTTAACGAAGACATTGTCAGTATACCAGAAGATGTACAAGGACATAAGGTATGTGGTTATTTGATGTGGTTTATGCCTTGATATTTTATAAACATCTGATTAATCACAATAATATCAATCAACTTTTCTTATTCATGTTAAAAAAATCATCAAATATCAAGTATTTTTGGCATTTATTGATGGATTTTGTTCAAACTTGGTACATACATTAGACATACATTATGGGTTCCTGATGCACGTTTTTTTATTTTTTGGCTGACTAGTGGCCATTTTGTTTTAATGAATGGGCTTCTAGAGCCTTATCTCTGACATGCTTTGACTGACTATGTTCAAATTTTATATATTCATTATACATGTATTCAAAATGGCTGATTTTGTTTTAATTAATACTGAGTTGTTTTTCAATCAATGGCTTCAGAGAAGATTTATTTCTATATTACCAAAGAATTGAATTAGCTTACATTACATTTGATTCATAGGAAGTATGCCAAGATATTGACCAGATCCAAGAAATGGTGGATGCTTTACAAGAGTATGCACAGATTATCACTGAACAAACAGAAAAAGAAAATGAGAAACAAGTTGTCGTGGCTACCATTACAACTATCCAAAACCATTATGCAGAGCTCAAACGCAGTGCTGAATTGAAGACTGCTAAACTGGAGGAAGCCGATATCATGTGGACTGACTACCAGGAAGCAACTGAGTTTGTTGGTGAATGGTTAGAAAAAAGTAGGCCTGTGGTTACAGCTGGTATTGTTGTTGACAATCTTGATGGCATAAAGCACCAGCTTCATTCACATCAAGTAAGTCCATTGTGTGTGAATTCCACCAACATAACTCATAAAAGTAGTTGTTAAAATTAGAAAATTATAATAACATGTATATAAGCAATTTATACATAGTGTCTAAAGTGAATTCATATTTTGAAATTTTGATGCCCATTTTACTAACTTGAATCGTTTACAAGGAAATGCACCAATATATCTATAAATGCTATGATAAACATTGTATAAAACATCATGAGCTCATACCGAGATAGTAATATATATTTGGCGTATGTTTTATTCTGTGTAGGAGGTCCTCATGATTTCAGATCCAGTGTTGCACAAAATACAACTTCTCAAATCAGCCACGGATAAACTTAGTAAGATTTATAATGCTGGAGAGCTTCAAGAGAGAGCAGCTGATATATCAGAACATGCCATTGGAATTGAAAAAGAGGCTAAACAACGGGCTAACATCTTGAATGAGAAAGCGAGAAAGTGGGAAGAATGCGAAACTGGTGTTGTGAAACTAAAAGAATGCATTGATCATGTCAAGAAAGAACTTTTTGATCCCAACTTGGATGATGAAGAACTTGTCCATCAGCTGGAGAAACATGAGGTGAGAATGACAATACTACTAACGATCTCTTAGTGTGTGAACACTAACAAATAAACATATATAAATGACATCACCTGTATACAAGATTTGAGCTCATAATCATGGAAAGTGCCATGGTTCTATGGCCTTGCAGTGATTAGTTGGAAATGAACATGCCAAATCTCAGACATTACCAAAAAAAATATATATAATTACACACACATAAGCTTCATAATGTGAGTTGCAGTCAAAAACTTTTTAGAATACTAAATAACTTGTTTCAGCATATTTCTATTATTTTATGCTTGTAATAACAATTGTAATACCTTTGCCCATACAGGAATTGTCTTCTGAAATTGACAACTACAAAGATAGACTGCAAGCTATTAGAGCTAAGAAAAGAGAGATCACTGCTACTGTTGATACAGTTGATGCTAGTCCACTTGAAGATCCATCCCATGTAAAGATGCAGGAAGATATAGTACAGATTCAAGATGCTATATCTGGTCACAAACAGATGTTAAGAGAAGCTGTTGCTAAAAAGGTAGAAGAAATTAATTTCTGGTCTTCTGGTCCAGTAATTTGTTATGTATGGTGATTTCTGTTGGTTATGGCTTGCCAGTGATATGATATATAGTTTGTTTAGTGTTGTGATGTGAATGTTGTATGTTGTGATGCGAATGTTGTATTTGCTTCTTATATTTGTACATTGTCTTTAGAAGATCTTTTCTGTTTATATTATTAATATATTTATATTATTATAATATTTCTGCTTAATAATAATTCTAGAGATTCTTAATGGGCATAATGCATGATTTTTGTTTATATTGCATCTTTCAAATTTACTTCAATGATGCCTTGCAAAGTTCTGTGGGATGAACTTATCTTCCGAAATATACACCTCTAAATTCACCTATAGTCAACTCTAAATCTGTAAATAAATGATCATTACTTTTTGGCATATTATATTTTTGGAATCTAAAGCAGAGTATATGAACTTAATGATAACTCTAAAATGTAACTATTTTTTGGGCTTTCTGAAATTTAGGAATGTGAAAAAATGTACCAAAATGTGACCCTGCACATAAAAAAAATATTCTTCCCAACTTATAGCATTTTTAAACAAAAAATAAGACTAACTGCTTGCTGTTGCATGTATTGGTACTGTGGGTTTGCTTTTTAAATAAACTGTAGATTTAGTGAACTCACCTAGACAACTCCTACTCATTAATCCAACAGGAAGAGTATTACAGTGAGGTTGAGAGACTGACAACAAAAGTGAAAGAGGCCCAAGAGAAACTGAATGCCACTCCTGTGGCACCTACCAGTTTTGATGGTCTGAAGAAACAATTAGCAGAACATACTGTATGTTACTCATCAAATAGGTTGCTTGGTTTGGCGTGTTTGTAAAATATCAAAGAACAATGTCATGGCTTACACCATACTGTGTGCTATATCATTTATTGCACATCAATTACTGTTTCTGGTTAAGCCATACCATTATTAATTGTACTTTCACACGTGAAAATATAAGCTACAATAAAAACCAAGTGTGTGTTTGTTATTCAAAACTTGGCGAGGTTTCATCATGTTACTACATATTCTAACATTAATCAGTTTCATCCAAGCACTTATTTCATTGCGTATTTCATTGCTAACATTACATCTTCTTTTTCATGGTTTCCAACATATGCTTCAACAACAGATAACGTGTCATCTTAGATTTATTAATTCATGTTTTCTCTTTTCATAGTTCCTGTTGTTTGTGACAACAACATCTGTTTCTTCTCTGATCTTTACTTTCTTTCACAGGAAGTAATTTCATTATCAGGTCACTGAAAACATGCAGCAACCTTTTTGTCAACTTGTCAGGGTTCATATTTTGTCTTTATTTTCTCACTTCATTGCTATAATAATACATCATATATGATTGTGTGTACATGTTTTCAGCTCACCAACATTTCCTGCTTTAATAGGGGAAGTCAACTGCAATGGTGTTTAATATCATATTTGCACAGTGAAAATCGACAAGTTGATCTTGTCCACTGGTTGCTGTTCACTGATTGGGTGCTGGTGTTAATTCCACAACAGAAAGTTGATACATATTCTTGGCTGTTCAGAGATCTTAAAATTATTCAGATATCAGAATCAATAAGCTATACACTTTTCATATTTTACAAACATTGGGTGAATTTGAAAAAGGAACCTTGATGCCACGCTGCAAAATCAATTTATATAGTAAAATATCTACAACAAGAAGTCTATAACTCCCTTACATTATGTGCTTGCCAAGAGAGCCACACAACTAGAGTAACTCCAGTTACCACTAAACAGTCAGTTGATGAATTCCATGTGACATGAACAACTTTTATAAAATACATATATGTGATATGTGATAGCGCGAAAAAATAAATAATGTTTACATAATGTTGTATTACAGATGTAAGTAGTATTTATCTTTTTAAACACATGGCCCAGGGAGGTATACAAGGGCTTAAATAATAAAGTGGTGATAGTTTGAAATGATTTTTAAGTATATTCAATTGCAATAACTGATACAGCATTGCAGCACTGACTACCCCTGTAAGTAATGTTCAGTAAACAAAATGTATTGCACATGCTTGATATAACTAAACTAAACATTTCAATCTTATGTGTATTAGGATTTATTTGATTCCGTTTGGCTAATGCTGAATATTTTCCAATTTTAAAATCTGTGTATTCTTTTTGGCTGACCTTGATTGTTTGTTTGTTTCCCAGTGGGTATTGCTTAACTTGAGTTGTCTCTCATTTTGTTAGGCTTTGAGAGCTGAAATGGAGAGTTACAAGGAAGAGATCAGGACCATTAATGAAAAAAGTGAGGAATTAGATGATTTAGCTGCAGAAAGGGCTGCTGTGAGGAGAGCTGCTGCCGAGAAGTTTTTCCCAGGCATGACTGAAGTTGTTGTTGCTGAAGTACATCCTGGTGATGAAGCCCTTTATGCAGCTGAAGGTGTAACAGAGATTGTGTCACCACAAACTGCATCAATACAAGATCCAAAACATCAACAACAGTCAAGCAAGGTTCATCGGGCAGTGGATGAGTACGGAAAACCAATATTCAGTGAACAGAATAATGTTGGTGTGCTTGGGCATGATCTGCCTTGTGGTGAAACAGCAGAACAGAGACATCACTCTGGAGATTTTAAACATATGGCTAAACCTGGGGAAAAACCCCTAACCGCAGTTGGAGAATCAGTTATCACAAAAGGTAAACTTAACTATGCAGGTGGACAATATGAAGAAACCAAGGATATCTCTGAAACTTGTGATGGATCTTTGAATGGAAGATTCCCTTCAGTTAGTACTATCGACTCTGGAATTCATTCTCCACCAAATGGACAACCTGGGGAGTTAGTGGAGACTTTACCCAGCTCATGGCAACCAGGTCATGAATCTCAAACAATGTCATTAGCAAAAAATGCCCATGTAGATGCTGCCGTAGGATTTGAGCAGGTAGATGCACTTAATACACAAGAAGACAAACGACACACAGCAGAGGAAGGTGTACAGACAGGCTTACAGTATGCCAACCTTCAGCGCTCAGACATGTTAAATCCTGTTGTTGATGCCAGTACAGATTTAAAAGAAAAACTTGAAATTGCTCATTTGCATGACAAATCCTGGGAACGATCAAGAGAAAATAGTCCAGAAAGGCGAAAAGCCACTTTCAAATCAGGTGAGGTGCATGAAATGCCTGAAGCTGAGCATGCACAAATTGTAACTGCTCCTATGCATGAAGGAGATGTAGTGCATGGTGTGAAATCTGAGCTGCATGCAGAAGCAATGAATGCAGTATTGACAGAGCAAAGGGAAGAACTCAACAGTAAAAAGACCAAACCAGGTGAGGTGCATGTTTCTCCGAGTGAATTTGTTGTGAGTGATCCTTCTCCTGAAATCCTTTCTATGCACAGAGCTGATATTTCTGAACTTTCTTCTGTTATTGCTTCGCACTCTGAAGATAAATATTCCATTCACCCGCCTCTCTCACCTTCTGGACTTGAACTTAACTATGAACATTCTTCAACTATTTATCCTGATGAAACAGAGCATTTAGACCATGTAGAAGTAAAGAAATCAATGACCAATCATAAGGCTGAAGCTGACGAGCCAGTTGAATATTTCAAACTAGAAAGGTCTAATAGTAAGTCAAAAGACGCCTCTGATGAGGTTGATGGAATACATTCATCACTGATAGGTCAAACTGTAAGTCCTGCACAATTATCTGCAGCTGAGCAAGAAATTACTGCAGCACATTTTGCACCTGATAAATCGCAAGCTTTAGCATTTGATGCTAATGAAGGTGTTCTTCCTGTATCTGAAAATATTGAAGAACTTAAGGGAAAAACCTTGATTCAGCCTCCAGGTGAACTACCTGAGATTGAGCATGTTGCACCTCAGTCTGCAAATGAGGATCAACGAGATGAATGTGCTCTGTCGATATCTCAGAAATTACCTGGTGAAATAAAAACACCAGGTAATGACCCTGTTGGTGTAGCCCTTGCTGAACAATATATGATAGGGCAAGAACAACCTTCTAAATCTGAGTGTGCACATAACATTGATCAAACCCTAGTAATTGGTGATGCCACTAATAACCGTGAAGTACAGCTTTTACCAAGTGACCCATCAAGCCATTTGCCATTTGATAATGAGCAGCATGTCATTAGTAATGAAAATGAATACACAGCTCCACACACACACAGTCAGAAAAGCAAAGGTGCTACATTACCTATACAAGCAGAAATACACAAGACTGAACTCCATAAGCGGGAGCAATGTGATGAGGAACACATTATTTTAACGCTAGTTGAAACTGAAAATTCAGACATTCCACCTGGTTCATTCATTCCTCAAGTAGAAAAGATTACTAAACATAAAGTACCTCAAATTGACTGGATACCTGTGGAGAAACAAGAACACGGTAGTGAAAATGAGAAACCCCATGGGATCGTGGTTGTCAAATCAACAGGTGAACCAAACATAGAAGAATATCTAGAGAAAGGTAATAATGCCATCCACATAGAAGACAACATACCATTGCAAAATGAAAATAATGGTATACTTATTGTATCTGAAAAAGTTGAAGATCTTGAAGTAATTGCACATGTTGCACCTCAATCTGAAAATGAAGATCGACCAAGAAAAGATGTTTTGTCTATATCCCTAAAATTACCTGATACAACAAAAACATCAACAAATGGCACTTCTGTCGAACAATTTCTACCAGGTGAAAACGAGAAAAGTGATTATATATCAGGTTCAGTTGATAAGATTACTAGTCATGAAGTTTCAGTACCACAAGAAAAGCATGAGCAGGTAGATGAAAACAAAGGGGATGGGAGATATATGACAGGGAAGTACAATGTTCACAATATAATGGCTACCATTGTAGAGCCTGTCACTCTTGGCGTTCCAATAGACAAATCTGATATAGAGCAAACAGAAACAAATCCAAATGAATGGATGATTGAAAAAAGAAAAGCAGATATAAAATCTGCTTACATTGCAGAGCCTGGCTCGAGCGGGGACGTCATGCTTGGGACTCCTACTGACAGACCAGATAAAGAGCAGGCAGTTAAAACAGAACATCTAACTGCACTTGATAGAATTGAAGAAATGAAAGATGATCATGACTCAGAGGGAGAACAAACAGATATAAAACATGCTCACATTGTGGAACCTGGCTGCAGCAAGGAGGACATGCCTGTTATTCCTCATGACAGATCTGATAAACAACATACAGTAAAACCAGAACTTCCAAGTGGATTTGAAAGAGTCAAAGAAACAATAGATGATCATGAGATAGAGGCAGGGAATGTTGATATAAAACATGCTGTCATTGTGGAGCCTGGCTGGAGTGAGGATGATATGCTTGGTATTCCAAGAGACAGGCCAGATGAACAGCATGTAGTTAAAACAGAACAACCAAGTGAATCTGAAAGAGTCAAAGCAACAATAGATGATCATAAGATGGATGAAAGTAAAATAGATCTAAAACATACTGTCATTGTGGAGCCTGGCTGTAGTGAAGGTGATATGCTTGGTATTCCAAGAGACAGGCCAGAAGAACAGCATGTAGCTAAAACAGAACAACCAAGTGAATCTGAAAAAGTCAAAGAAACAATAGATGATCATGAGATAGAAGGAGGAAAAGTTGATCTAAAACATGCTCCTATTGTGAAGCCTGACTTGAGTGAAGATGATATGCTTGGCATTCCAAAAGACAGGCCAGGTGAACAGTACGTAGTTAAAACAGAAGAACCAAGTGAACCTGAAAGAGTCAAAGAGACAATAAAGAATCATGAGACAAATGAAAGTAAAATAGATCTAAAACATGCTGTCATTGTGGAGCCTGGCTGGAGTGAAGATGATATGCTTGGTATTCCAAGA